GCCCAGCATTCTTGTACCTGGGTCCTATCAGCAGTAAATTGCCCTCATTATTGAATTGGCAATATTTAGGGGCTAAGTAAACTGACTTTCACATGGGGAGAGAAACATGGCAGGGCCCTTTGAGTAACACCTGTAGGTAAGCCATCTACCACTCTTACAGTAACGCTCTGGACAACTCTGGAAAATACCACCATGTGGACTCCACCAGGGCTTCTTACGGGAAACAAACCAAATTGCACCATACAATGACTTAAACATTTGATGGATGCAGCAGCAAACCTATCTTATGAAATATGGACTGAAATTTGAGATCAAGCTTGACTTATTTTCCTAAAACAAAATCAGACTAGATTAGAATGGTGCCCAAACAGAAAAAGCAAAGTCCTAATTGGATAGTCACTAGGAATATGTTGTACACTGATCAGTCAGATTACAATCAGTCTGCCGAACATGGAAGCAACAGAATGAAAATAAATGGGGTGAGTGAGAGGACCATTACTTCCAATGCATGGGCTTGAGGTATTTTTATTTATTTTCTCTTCTAAAATTCATGTTTGAAAAATAAACATAAACAACAATAACAAACTGGCTGAATAAAAACAAATTGTTTGCATTCTCTAAAAGTAAAATAAAATAAGAAGAGAATCACAAAGTGATTTTGTTAGCATGCATGAAAATCTGGCAGAGGATAAATATTTCCCAAACATATGTATCCAGCTTGCTATAAGATCTTTTCTTATATTTTAAATAATCAAGACCAAGTTTGAAAAAAAAATAGTGAGAAAAAAGTCTCTCAAATGGAAAAGCACCGAATGCTACAATGAACTAAGCCTATTGCTAGAAGAAAGTTCAAGAAAGCTAGCATGATCTGGAAAGGCTAGCATCGAAACATGGGTGGGGAAATGTTGGGGATCAAACAGGCAGTAAGTGTTCAGTCTCTACTCTCAGACAACTACTCCTTCTATCTTGCTTTCTGGATCACTGGTTCTCTCCCACGATAGCCGTGTGTGTGTGTGTGTGTGTGTGTTTTGCCAGGGGGTCCTTTGCAGGGGACTATAAATTCTCATGTTACCATGATGGCAGAGTTGAGTCTTAATGATTTTAAGTTGAAGTGATGAAGGGATTCAATATGTCATGGAGAAAAATATCAGAATTTTATGAAAATAAAATGCTAAAATGCTCTTTCTGATGTCTTGTTAAATGCAAAAAATGTTTCATCTGTTATATTGCCTTCATTCTTAATTCATCTATAATTACATGTACTGGACACAGAGATTAGAGAAACAATTCTGCCTCTTTCAGTCAGGTTTCTGTGTGTGTGTGTATATCTGTTCTGTCCATGAGTAGTAGTAGGAAGGGGCATTGGATGTGATCTGGTCTGAGACAGCATCTGAGGAACCAGTGGCTTCCATAATCACACCTACAGTTTCTGTGAGAACCCTCCCATGGCAGTGCATACATCATCACAAGGTTGACAGCAATCATTCAAGACATTATTTTCCTGTTAATTTACAATCTGACTTCCTATAACTTCTACCTTAGTTTTGATTTTTATATATAAAAGGTACGATAACCCTTCAGTCACCACCTTTCCAAGTAACTGAGAAAAGCTTTCCCATCCTCTATGAATCTTATTTTTTCCATATTTAACACATCCTATTTCTCTAATCATTCCTCATATGAAGCCTACCAGATTATTCGCCATCCTATAATTCTCAGCTGAATAAGTTCAAGTCAAAGTCCATTGTTCATATTATCATTATTAAACAGGCTCCACTTATTAAGAATATGCCATATCCCAGAAAGTGTTCAAATAAATTATTTGCTTTAATCTTCCCAACAACACCTTTCAAAGCCAGTATTTTCATCCTCATCTTTGTGGTGAGAAAACCTAGGCTCAGAAACTTTAAGGAAGTTCCTCGAAACCACATGGGTTACCATTAGCCACCCCCGGTCTGGTAGCTTCAGAGCATTTATCAAATGTGATTGAAACACAGCCCTGCAGGCAGTATCTGTGCAACGCAGGGAACAGGATGGCTCGCTGCCGTCTGCAAACCGAACACTACACTTCCACAGAAACAGCCTGTGATTACAAAATGGTTTTGACAACTGTATCACACTGCTGGCTCATGATGAGTTTGTGATGAACTTAAGCCAAAAGAGGAGTTTTACCCAAATTGTTACCAAGTCTGAATGCCCCTCTCACATACACATTTCTATTTTGTACTTAATCTCATTTATCAGAGTAAAGTTTAAATGTTAGCTTTCCTGCTTTGCTTCAGTGTCCCACACTGTCCATTTCATAATAAAACTGGATTCTCACACTTGGGGCATTAATCTCTTTAAATAAGCAATACAGGCTTTAAAGCTCTATATTGCTTAAAAAATACTTGTTCAGCTGTGTTTCTGTGCCTTCACCCAAGTCTTTGATACACACTCAATTTCAAGAAGAGCCAGCACGGAAGCTCACCTTTCCTGGGCAATGCTTTTCCTTCTCTGATTACCTAGAATGCTCTGTGTATAGCTCACCAGGCAAGCTTTACTTTCCATTGTTTATATCAAAACACAAGAAATACTGTCACATGCTTTTCCTCTTTTTTTGAGATGGAGTCTTGCTCTGTCACCAGGCTGGAGTGCAGTGGTGCGATCTCAGCTGACTGCAACCTCCGACTCCCAGGTGCAAGCAATTCTCCTGCCTCAGTCTCCCAAGTACCTGGGATTACAGGTGTGTACCACCACTTCCGGCTAACTTTGGTATTTTTGGTAGATATGGGGTTTCACCATGTTGGCCAGGATGGTCTTGATCTCCTGACCTTGTGATCTGCCTGTCTGGGCCTCCCAAAGTGCTGGGTTTACAGGTGTGAGCCACCACGCCTGGGGTAACATGCTTTTTCAACTAGCACCTCATTGCCTCCTTGAGAATCTCTTACTTTATCTCCATCTTCTTCACAAAGATGTCAGTCAGAAACATATATTTTCTAATATCAATGTCTGTGGTGAAACTGAAAACATTCTACTGGCAAAAGTTTTTACATCCCAGAAAAACGTTACTCTTAAGAATCTGTCAAATGTATAAAAATAGTTTATCGTAAAGAAAAATAACTGGCCAAGTTTGCTGTGCCACTCAAAATGTTCACAGTGACATTAAAAGAAAGGTAATTATAAAATTAAAATTTTGTAACCCCAGTGATTATCTATAATGAATCTGAAGCACAGATACAAATTAAATTTGACAAAATGTTCAACACCGCTGGTACCTTAGTCAGCCCTAAGGCATTATCCTCTCTAAGTGAAACACCATAAACTTTCTTTCTTCTAGGCTCTCCTTAGAAGACTCTGATAGCCAGAACTCAAAGACTGCTAGTTTACCCTGTTCATTCCATTACATAAATGCAATCAATAGAAAGACTCTCCTCAAAGTTAAGAGGAAAAGTATCTCGACTTAGAACAATTTTTCTAGAAAATGTATCTACATTGAAAAAATATAGTATCTCTCAAGGTTACAAAAGTCCTGTAGGTTTCAGAGTAAAACTCAGCTAGAAGTATATTACTGGAGCTGCCTGTTTCCAGAATTCACATCTAGATGAGTAATTGGACACGTTGGTCTAAGAAATGAAATAAAATCAAAGCCAGAAAAAGGGAAGAAAGAGTTTTTTCCATGGTCCTCGGGGATTCCTGTGGTGGCCCATCAATGTTTACAAGAATACAGCATGACTAAATTTTCTATAAATTGGTATAACAGACTAAATAATGGTGGATGTAAGACTTCATTTTCAAAAAACATAGATCTTTTTCTATGTTCCTGAAATCTGTAAAAATTTAGTAACCTACTTCTCATCCCCATCCTAAATGAATTCAACATGAAATGGATCTGAGTCTTCTGTTACAAGAAAAACATTAGGTGCATGAGTGTATTACACAAAATATAACAGGAATGATATGGGGGTTGGGGGACAGAGGAAGCAGAGTAAATGGGAACATGGGAAATAGGGTGGGCTTAGTATTAGCTGGCATGAGGAACAAGGAAGAGAAATATGTAAGGACACACACGTGTGCACTGACTGTGCTGCCTGGGACAGTCTTGGCACAAGCCTGAGGAAGGGTTGGACTGTGAAAGCACATGGTGGGAGGGGCTGGCTTGGAGAAGTGTGATACCCTCCCTTCTTTATGACAAGGGCAGGAGCTGAAGGCAGGAAGAATGAGCTCTTTGAATGAAGACATCGCATCTGAAATAGAATCATCTTGCTAAAAGTGCAAGCCACTCCCTCTTGGTGTACACACAGACATGCTCCTAGAGCCTGCATTCATGCCCTGTTTGAATTTTCCCTGATACTCAGAGAACTCAACAATCAGCCATCTCTGCAGCTCCAGACAGGTTGTGTTCTCATCTGCTAATTTGGTCTTGACAAACATCTCTGACAAAAGGCACTCAACTGCCCTTTCTCTGAGAGGAATGTTTTCTTTACCAAGAAGAACAAAAAGTATACCCTTTTCAACTAAAGCTGCAATGCCCACCATAATGTGCATTTTAAAAATTACTCATTCTCTGAGCAAGAAAAGGTCATGGACATTTTCAAATTATCCCACCATCCCTACGTACAGAATTTGTAAGTTTTCTACCAAGTAACAAGTGACTTGGGCATACATTATGCAAAAAAGATAAAATTCATGTAAATAATAGCTCACCGCCAGGATATTAAAGAAAAATCTATTTTTAAAGTCTTCAAAATTTTTTTTGTTCCTACCATATTGTTGAAGATTTTATCTTTTAAAAAATATAAGACCACATTTTACTTTTGGTTGTAACATTTTGGGACATTGTACATATTTTTAAGAATCTGATCCCCTGTTAGAGACTTGGGTATAATTTTATATTTAGAGACTGGGCTCGAGTAATTTTCCAGAGTTCTAGAAAAACAAAGAGGCATCTTGTATATTTTACACCAACATTGCCCAGCTTTCAATATCTAGGACAAAAATGTCTTAAGACACACACTTACCTCTACATCACAGGTATATTCTGAGCCATCTAGAAGTATCACTTTGCACTGCATGCTTTTAGGCTTTTTGACAATCTTTAATGGAGACCGAGATAGTTTACTGCTAGATGATTTCTGAGAAAGTTTATCCTCTTCTAATTGCTGATATTCAAGCTGTTTTGCAGCTCTGGAAGCAGATTCCTGTTCCTTGTCAGTGACCTGTGAAGAGCAAACAATCAACAGTTTTCATTGCAAGATGGGAAATAAATGTTGCATTGCTCATGCAATAGCACAAAGCTGCTTTCTATTTCACAGAGGAGAGAAACTGAATTAGGCTATTAGGAACAGACATAAATATACAGATACTTATAATATTTGCCTAAATGCTGTTTGCCATTTAAATGTATCAATAAGGCCTTAGTTCATTTTAATTCCAGGATTTATTTTAGAAGTACTGAGTTAGCAAATGCTATCAAAATTTCAACAAGCCAACAATGAGTAAGTGATTCTTGACTTTTTAAAAAGCATTGGATAGTATAGGTCTCTAAAACATACTGTTTAGATTTCATCTTAAATGTTCTATTTTCTTAATTCACTAGATCCTTCTATACCCCATGACATGTTATATAACTCTCTCATCCATACAGATACAAGATATCTGATAAACTCTAATGTCTGGAGACCTTCAAGTATTAATCTTTCCAGTAACTATACAACTGTTAAAATATTTGATTTAGCTCTCAATCAATTCAATGAAGTCAGCAGAACTGAAATTCACCACAAGTAATCCCTATGTCTGCTTCCCTTCACTGTAATGAGCCACTGTAAGAACATATCAAATCTGTCCCAATAGCTTTAATCTGCTTTCAAACCACAACAGACTAGTCCAGGCTGGATATAAAACTGCAGAGTACATCTTAAGTAACAGTAATATTCTCCCATAAACCAATCCCTTTGGAAATGTGCACACAGATCTTCAACTATTCTCTCTGTACATCCATCTTCTATCTATTAAATGACCATCAATGGTAGTACTGCAAATTCAATCCTCGGGCTATGCCACCGCTGCTCCTAGTCTGCAAACATGTGCAGAAAGTCCAAAGAAAGATATGCACCAAAATTCTGCTTAGGGCTTTGAAATAAGCATGAAATTTTCTCTCCCGTGAGTATATTATCAGCCTGTTGCTAAAAATTCACGGGCTTGAAAAGACGGTATTGAGGGTTTATCATTTTAACTTTTCTATTAGCCTCTACTATTTTACAACACTAAATATAATTGCAAAGGTATTTGGGTATATTTATTTTGGATTTTAGGTATAGATTTCTGCTTTATCTTCATTTTCTATCTTGTTTTCCATCCAAAAGATTGCTAACACAGTCCTCTCCTTCAATCCTATCTTGCCCAGGATTTCAAGGCAAAGTCTTGAGAACATCTTAAGAACTGAAAGAGACCAGTCTGCTGAGCTTATAAAAACAAAGCAACAAAAAATGGAATGATCAATCCTAAAGGCCAAAATAGTTGAAAAAGCAAGTCTTAGCTTAAAAAAGTAAATAAACTAAAGAAAACATGCTTTGGCAACTCAATCCTACTTTTTTAACCAATGTCTTTCCTATAGCAAAGCATTAAAACAGTAAGTGCAAGATAATCATAAGATCGTCATTAATTTTGCCCATGAGGTAATTTACAGAAAAGTTTGGTAACCTCGGTATTGTATATCAACAATAACACATTTCTTAAGCGCTTTATAACTTACACAAATTTTGTACATTTAAGTTTTATTTTATCTCTTCATAGGCAAAGGACATTAGAAACTATTAGTACATATTTATTTAAATTTTACCTGAAACCAACTTTTTCTGTGTAGCAAGAAAGATAAATTTCACTTTACCTCTTCTAAAATAAAAACATCTGTATGAGAATAAGCTTTCTGGGTTACTTTAAATGGCAATCCCAGAGGCATCTTAAGCCATCAACATTCAAAAGCTAGGCATTGTTTCTGGGAACACTGGAAACATAAACCCATCATTGAGACCCTTACATACACTTTTTTTTTAAACTTTAAGGTAGACTAAGTCCCTCAAATGAAATGTCAATCATAGTCATATGAGTTCTAATTTTAAATACTGGATTTTAGCAAATCCTCAATCTCATTTAATCCATAGCTCTATGGTATGGGTTTTATTACCCTTATGTGCATATAAGGAGAGAGAGACACAGGGAGCCTAAGAAAGTTTCTCGAGGCATAAATTCAATGGATTTGAATGGAATTCAAATCCAGCCAAACCCACATTTTAATCACCACTATGTACCAAAATGTGCTTCATTTTACCTCCAACAGTTAGCTTCCTAGCATGAATCAAAGAATTTTGTGAAAGAATCTTAGAAATAATCTTTTTTGAACTCTTCATTTTGTAGATGAAGCTGAGGCTTGGGAACTTGCCTGAGTTCTCTGAGGATGGGAAAATAATGACTGGAAGAGACAGGACTCTGAGGTCTCTGTCTTTTGAAGCAGCCAGTCATTTTTCCCTCTTATTGTCATTTTTCTTGTTTTGTATCTGACTACAGATGATAAAGAAAGTATATTTAATCAGGTCTACATGTAAACAGTCATACTTTTCTACAATTATCTCCCATTTTCATATTATTTCATTTCAGAGTAAAAATATGAACGAAAAACAAAACATTTAGTTTGGTAATTTTAAATGTTTGAAGATTACAAAAACAAAATAAAAAGAAAGCCAAATACTACCATCATTTCCTCCACAAAAAGAAAACCATGATGGTTACAAGAGTTCCTTAGGCTTGCTTGTCTTCTAATCTAGAATGGGATCTCCCCCTTTCCATCACAATGCATCTGAGATCAGACAGAGCAGTTATTTATAGATGGAAAATAATTGCTACTATTAATATTGTTTAAAGCAGAACTTGCAACTTTCAATTTAAAATGGTTACACAGAACCAGCTGGTTTCCTTCCTCCCATCCCTCCACAGAAAACCTAAAACAAATATCCAGCACCAAGATATTCACCAGCAACAACCCAGAACTCATATATGAGGACAAGATAGATCCTGGAGCCACAAAGAAATGGAAAACATCCATGCAGACGGTAGAAGAATTGGACTTCCACAGTCATGATGTCCCTCCCTCTGATTCTGCACAGCAATAAACGTGCAGAAAATCTTCCCCCAACTTGTAGAAAAGTGAGACTGGAAAAGTGAGACTGAGGTGGCCAACCAGGTTTCCCACCTTCTTGAGCTTCCTTGGAGACCGGTCCTTGCCTTAACCCATGGGAAAGAAGTGATGTGACTGTCTGAAGGAAGAAATATACCTCAGGACAGGTAGAGACAAACTGGGTGGGACCACCAGCCTCAATCCTGGACACTCTGCTCTGTAACTTGGCCAAAGGAGATGCCGAATCCGAGTGGCTGTTCAGCAGCACCACGCTGGAGGAAGGCACATTCTACAGATGCCCTGGGCACAAATTCCTAGTTAGCCATCCCACATTGCCAGGATAATCCCTTCGGGACTTCCTTCATTCAGAACAAGCAGCACTCCTATCACTTACTAGAGCCAAGGTAAACCTGGGCTTAAAGACCACCTAGGGACAAAGAGGTGGCAGAGGCCTAGCAGTAAAAAAGTGTCTAAGCAAACATAACCAATAAAAAAACAAAACAAGCCAGACAGAGAAAACTGGAATTAAAAACTAATCCTTGCATAAAAATCACAGACACCTACCCACAAGAAACAATAGCAAACAAAAAACTATGACCTCACCAAAAAGACAAAGTGAAAATCCAGTGACAATCCCTTACAAGATGGTGATTTGTCAGCTAAGAATTCAAAACAACAGTTTTAAGAAAACTCATGAGCTTCAAGATGAAAATGAAAAGCAATTTGGATATTTATTAGATAAATCTGATAAAGAGATTGAAATACTTAAAAAAAAAATCAAAGAGAAATCTCAGAAATACATTTGGTAAACTGAAGAACTCATTAGAGGCTCTTAGCAGAATGAACCAAGCAGAGGAAAGATTCAGTGAGCTCAAAGAGCAGCTATTTGAAAAGAAACAGAGAAAAAAGGAAAAAGAGCAAAAAGGAACAAAGACTGCATACAAGATATAGAAAATCACCTCAAAAGATCAAACCTTAGAATTACTGGTATTCAAGAGGCAGCTGAGCAAGAGCAAGGGGTAGAAAGCATATTCAAAGAAATAATCACAGAAAACTTTCCAAAACTTGAGAAAGATTCAGTTACAGGAAAGTCTGAGAACATCACACAGATTCAACCTAAATATGAATACTACAAGGCAATAAATTCTCAAAGTTCAAGGACAAAGAGGGGATCCTAAAAGTAGCAAGAGAAAAAGAAACAAATAATAAAGGAGCTCCAATTTGCCTGGTAACAGACTTCTCAACTGAAACCCCACAGAGTGGAGTAACATTTTTAAAGTGCTCAAAGAAAAAAAACTGTCATCTAAGAATACTGCAACCAGCAAAATTATCATTCAAATGCAAAGGAGAGATCAAATCCTTCCCAAAAGCAGAGAGAATTCACCACCACCAGACCCATCCTAAAAGAAATGCTAGAGTTCTTCAATCTGAAAGAAAAAAAACCACTAATGTACAAAAAATAAAAATAATGTATCAAACCCAGTGGTAAAATGTATCAAACCCAGTGGTAAAATCAAGTATATGGATAAATCCAATATTCTATTACTGTACTTACTGTACTTGCGGTGTACAATGTACTACTTCTACTACTACAAACATCATAACTCTAGTATGAAGCGCAAAAGACAACCTATCAAAAACAATATGTAAAGCAACCTGTTAAGAGATAGGTAATACTAAAATATGCAAACTTAGAAAACTAAGTCAAAATGTGATTGGGGTGGAGGTAAAGTGTATGTGTGTGTGTGTGTGTGTGTGTGTGTGTGTGTTTTAAATTTGTGATCTAAGATAAGCTGTCATTTGTTTAAAATAACTTGTTATGTCTGTAAGATGTTTTTGGTAAGCCTCATGGTAACCACAACACAAAAACCTATAATAGATCCACTAAAAATAAAAAGCAACACATTAAACCACACTACCAGAGAAAATCATGTAGCCAAAAAAGAAGACCATGTAAAAAAGAACAAGAGGAATCTCAATCAGAAACAGGCAGCAAAACAGCAATAACAGACTTATTAGTCCTTATCAATAACTCTGAATGTAAAT